GGAAAGAAGTGTTTTTAACTTATGCACAATATATTGAGAAAATTGATGTAAAGACAAGTGATTTCACGAACCTGTCAATTCGGTACGATTCACAATAAGAAAATCATAATCTAGAATTTTATCACATCTGGCCGCACTTGTATAAAACATCTCAACTTGAGATTTCCTCAAGTCGAGATTTTCCTCTGCTGATATCTCCTCAGAAACGGATGTCCTGAAATTCCTTGTGGAATTTTCATACAAGATGTTTTCAAGGAGATATTAGCTGAGGAAAATCTGAGCTTGAGGAAATCTGAAATTGAGATATTTTATACAAGTGGGGCCTGGTTCTTATAATTAAGTAAAATCTATGTCGGATCCAGTCAGTAAACACGAACATTCTCTCTTTACTTATGAAAACTTGTACAGAACTTGTGATTTCTTTCCGGCCATACACACTTTTTTCATGTCTTGTTATGTGAGTTAAGTCAAAAATTCATTCCATCACTGACTCTACGGAACTTTATATATCAATTTATATAGAAACCATTATTAAAAATGAAAACAAAGCTCCCGACATGTATGATATATCTAACCTCAAATAAGCTTTAAAATATATCGGAAAATGATCCAACATAACAAGTTGTATATAACAACAAATGGTGTATTTTAGAGATGACTGCAGGGCAGATTTGTACATAAAATTCTAGCAAACCATTATTTTTCTCACAAAAACCAAAATACTAGGACAAAACATTATGTATCTTTGTAAACAAGAATAAGGAACATTTTTGCTTGTATTTTATTGATGCCATCACGTAGAAAGGTAGTGCGTATTGCTTGAAAATTGGATAAATGATAGAATTATAATATTTATTAATTTGTTCAAAAAGAGGCTCTGGTTGGGAAAAATAAATAAGAACCTTATCATACGAATTGTGAAAGAATATATTTATGGACAGGGTTTTAAATGTCACCAATTTTCACTAGAATGCGCAAAAAAACATAACATCACAATTCAATAAAATACACTTTATGTATTAAAAGTAATGATACATTATTCCTCAACCAAACATGTTCAGACATTCGACATCCTATGGGTAACTTGTTCCTGTTTTTTATGTCTTAAAATGGCAATATTTCTGTACATGTGTAATATGCTTGCAAAACCTTTGTTTTAAAAGTGCAAGAACATTTTCAGTAATTTTCCTTTGAATGTTTTCAATATAATAAAGACCAAGGCAAAGAAATGATTGATGTACTTTGTGCCAGTTTCCACTACATTTTATAATCTTTACAGTCATGAAATGTACCTTCTATGTGTAAGGATATTTGGCAGTGTGTACGTAAGTCAAAGTCTATGTGTTGCATTTTGTCGATGTTTATATCATGTTAGTAACATGTATCAGAAAAAGGAATAAAACTGAAATAAAAACATAAAAAAATAAATCGATAAGAAAATAAATATATAAATAAAAAGTGTTCATACCTAGTACGCTAGATGCAAACCCAAGGCTTTATATGCAATGACCAGTTCAAAATCAGTAAACTTGTAATTATTGAATCGTTTTAGCGAGGAATGGTGTTGGAACGTGTTGATCGTAGGTTAACTGCAATCAGGTCTCTGAAATGAAAATATTAAAAAAAAATAATCGATAAAAAATGAATTAATAAAATGTGTCTTTTTGTACAATTTTCGTTTAAGGTTGTATGTGTATATATAGGAATAAAATCACATCAAAAGAGACATGTTAAAGACTACGTTGTATTTACCGCAATGGGGTTTATCTCATTAAATGATTGACTTTCCAATCGCTTGAACACCAAACTTACTAGGGAAACCTGACAGTGTAACGTATATCAACATCATCAAACTAACATTTGAAGACAGATTGGAAATCGTCTGAAAAACGAAAAGAATTTGTAATTTGTAACTTACTTTCCTTGTCAATTACATTCAGTGTGACAATCACTCTTGGGTGGGAGCATATGGCGAACAGGTGTCTTCCGGTTTCTGTTACCAAAGCTTAGATCAGTAAGGTGTGTTTCCTCAATAAAGGTCTGTGGTGTATAACCCCACATAGATGTGTCTAACCACTGCGTGAGGAGCAGGTGTTTTTACAGGGTTTCACCCAAGCCGCCATCGCTATCAAAAGGAGTGCTGATAATGTGATAAAATCAAAGTTTAGACAGACAAACTCATGTTTTTCATTAGTGAACTAATGTCGTTAGGAAGCAAAAAAAGCAAGAGAAAGACAAAACTAACACGAGCTTAAGCTGAGTGCTATATTTTCATGGAAAAAGAGGTCAATTGTCCTGAAACGAAACACTGGCTACTAGCGAACAAGGAACAGCTGTGACGTCATGAAAGGGTTCCGTTTGTATTTGACAACATCTTTTATTTACTTTTATTAATTAACCTGTTTTTTTTTTAATTGTTAATGCGACAATCTGTTAGAACATTTCAGTTGATTTATTTTGAGAATGATAATCTTTTCTGTAAGTAGAATTAGATTCAGGTTATGCATTTGATGAAAGTCGACAACTTCACAAGTTTAATTTTTACCCCAACCATAATAACAAAACGTAACTAACGTTCCAGTTATTTTTAACGGACTGGTGGCCATCTCTTTTGTAATATAAGGTGTCGAGAGAAAGTTTCATTGGAAGAGTCTGAAGTGAATTTGCCTCTAGTTGTTTTTGGGAATCTCCTAACGAAACATGAATAAAATCAACACTGAGATGATTTTTTTCAAAAGGGTCGGTAGAAAAATAATCAGCTGGTGGGCTGGATTTTGTTTTGCCTGTTCCTGCTACCCAGTCTATGTGTCTCATCAAGTCTGATGTGAATCAGAGACCTAGGTCTATGTGTCTCATGAAGTCTGATGTGAATCAGAGACCTAGGTCTAGGTGTCTCATCCAGTCTGACGTGAATCAGAGAACTAGGTCTAGGTGTTTCAGCAAGTCTGACATGAATCAGAGACCGAGGTCTAGGTGTTTCAGCAAGTCTGACGTGAATCAGAGACCGAGGTCTAGGTGTTTCAGCAAGTCTGACGTGAATCAGAGACCGAGGTCTAGGTGTTTCAGCAAGTCTGACATGAATCAGAGACCGAGGTCTAGGTGTTTCAGCAAGTCTGACGTGAATCAGAGACCGAGGTCTAGGTGTTTCAGCAAGTCTGACGTGAATCAGAGACCGAGGTCTAGGTGTTTCAGCAAGTCTGACGTGAATCAGAGACCGAGGTCTAGGTGTTTCAGCAAGTCTGACGTGAATCAGAGATCTGGGTATAGGTGTCTCATGAAGTCTGATGTGAATCAGAGACCTAGGTCTAGGTGTCTCATCCAGTCTGACGTGAATCAGAGACCTAGATCTAGATGTTTCAACAAGTCTGACGTGAATCAGAGACCGAGGTCGAGATGTTTCAGCAAGTCTGACGTGAATCAGAGACCGACGTCTAGGTGTTTCAGCAAGTCTGACGTGAATCAGAGATCTGGGTATAGGTGTCTCATGAAGTTTGACGTGAATCAGAGACCTAGGTCTTGGTGTCTCATGAAGTCTGATGTGAATCAGAGACCTAGGTCTAGGTGTCTCATCCAGTCTGACGTGAATCAGAGAACTAGGTCTAGGTGTTTCAGCAAGTCTGACATGAATCAGAGACCGAGGTCTAGGTGTTTCAGCAAGTCTGACGTGAATCAGAGACCGAGGTCTAGGTGTTTCAGCAAGTCTGACGTGAATCAGAGACCGAGGTCTAGGTGTTTCAGCAAGTCTGACATGAATCAGAGACCGAGGTCTAGGTGTTTCAGCAAGTCTGACGTGAATCAGAGACCGAGGTCTAGGTGTTTCAGCAAGTCTGACGTGAATCAGAGACCGAGGTCTAGGTGTTTCAGCAAGTCTGACGTGAATCAGAGACCGAGGTCTAGGTGTTTCAGCAAGTCTGACGTGAATCAGAGATCTGGGTATAGGTGTCTCATGAAGTCTGATGTGAATCAGAGACCTAGGTCTAGGTGTCTCATCCAGTCTGACGTGAATCAGAGACCTAGATCTAGATGTTTCAACAAGTCTGACGTGAATCAGAGACCGAGGTCGAGATGTTTCAGCAAGTCTGACGTGAATCAGAGACCGACGTCTAGGTGTTTCAGCAAGTCTGACGTGAATCAGAGATCTGGGTATAGGTGTCTCATGAAGTTTGACGTGAATCAGAGACCTAGGTCTTGGTGTCTCATGAAGTCTGACCTGAATCTGAGACCTAGGTCTAGGTGTAGTATCAAGTCTGACGTGAATCAGAAACCGAGGTCTAGGTGTCTCATGAGGTCTGACGTGAATCAGAGATCTGGGTATATGTGTTTCATTTAGTCTGACCTGAATCTGAGACCTAGGTCTAGGTGTAGTATCAAGTCTGACGTGAATCAGAAACCGAGGTCTAGGTGTCTCATGAGGTCTGACGTGAATCAGAGATCTGGGTATATGTGTTTCATTAAGTCTGACGTGAATCAGAGACCTAGGTCTAGGTGTAGTATCAAGTCTGACGTGAATCAGAGACCGAGGTCTAGGTGTCTCATGAGGTCTGACGTGAATCAGAGATCTGGGTATAGGTGTTTCATTAAGTCTGACGTGAATCAGAGATCTATCTGTTTCATCAAGTCAGTGAAGGTGTTAATTATAAAGGATATCGAGATAGGATAATAAAGCAAGGAGACGAGTGTTGCAAGGATAGTGAACGATAAGACAGCTTCGAGATAACAAGGGCGGGAAATAAAATGGAAAATAAGGGAGGATATATAGGAAGGTGTCCTGATGAGAAAGTGACAAATATAGGCCTGAATGGTGAGAGAAGAAAGGGGGTGTCGAGATAACAGGGTGGTAAGTGTAAGAATGGTGAAATGATACGAGACTTCGCAGAAGCGATAATACGGACCGATGAAGGCTGTTTCGACAGTACCTGAGGGAACCTCGAGTAATGCTGTGCGACAGCCCGTTCCAGAGAACATTTTCGATTTTGGCAACATACAGGATTGACTGGGCCATGTCTCACATCCGCTGCCCCAATCGGCTGTCAAGACAGTGTGAAACGAAGGGCAGTAACTCTGGGAGATCAGAATGACCAACCTACTGTCGAAATAAGAAGACGGTGAAGATAAAGATTGTGTGAAATGATAGGGGAGTGTCGAGATAAGAAGGCGATAATCATACGGACAGTGAAAGAGGATAGCAGGGTGCCGATATATGACATTCTCAGCCTCCATCGATCCAAGCTTATCACTTTCATTTCACGGGTTTTACTACTTTTTAGTGGACGAGTTAGGCTTATCACTATCAACCATTCTCTGTGTTACTCTGTGATAATTTGTCGGTTACATGCGCACTCACTCCTTTTCGCATTGGCCAATCAGAACTAGCGACACGGAAAAGTTCGTCAAACCTGCAATGGACCGAAATATTTGCTTTATTATAATAAAGTTTTTAAAAACCTGTATGAAATCAAAAAAAATAATATAGAAGATATTTTCAAGGGCACATGTAGTCGATGATGCTTCTCTGTGAAAATGTGCCCTGTTAGGTTAAACTGTCAAAATTCCAAATGGTCTGAACAGAACTCACAAGAAATTACAAATTCGCATTGAAAATAGAAATTAAAAAATAGCGATATAGACTTACATATATATCTGTATTTCCGTGGTAACGACAAAGATGCCTTTCTTTCACCAGAGACCAGGGGCAACAATGACTATTTTATAACGTACGATTTCATGTTGATCAGTTGTGTATGATTCCATTTGTGTCGTTAATCCCTGTACCTTCTTGTCAAGCTCACTTAAGATAAATAGATTGAAGTTTTAAAGAAAAATATATACATCTATGTTTATCACTGACTAACAGGATGAAAGAAAGTGCAGTACTCTGAGAGATCATAATGAGTTAAGACGGCGATAAATATAGGGAAAGTGAAAGAAGGTGGAGAGTGCCGAGATTATACGGCGGTAAATATAGGGAAAGTGAAAGAAGGTAGGAGAGTGCCGAGATTATACGGCGGTAAATATAGGGAAAGTGAAAGAAGGTGGAGAGTGCCGAGATTATACGGCGGTAAATATAGGGAAAGTGAAAGAAGGTGGAGAGTGCCGAGATTATACGGCGGTTAATATAGGGAAAGTGAAAGAAGGTGGAGAGTGCCGAGATTATACGGCGGTAAATATAGGGAAAGTGAAAGAAGGTGGAGAGTGCCGAGATTATACGGCGGTTAATATAGGGAAAGTGAAAGAAGGTGGAGAGTGCCGAGATTATACGGCGGTTAATATAGGGAAAGTGAAAGAAGGTGGAGAGTGCCGAGATTATACGGCGGTAAATATAGGGAAAGTGAAAGAAGGTGGAGAGTGCCGAGATTATACGGCGGTAAATATAGGGAAAGTGAAAGAAGGTGGAGAGTGCCGAGATTATACGGCGGTAAATATAGGGAAAGTGAAAGAAGGTGGAGAGTGCCGAGATTATACGGCGGTAAATATAGGGAAAGTGAAAGAAGGTGGAGAGTGCCGAGATTATACGGCGGTAAATATAGGGAAAGTGAAAGAAGGTTGAGAGTGCCGAGGGTATACGGTGGTAAATATAGAGAGAGTGAAAGAAGGTGGAGAGTGCCGAGATTATACGGCGGTTAATATAGGGAAAGTGAAAGAAGGTGGAGAGTGCCGAGATTATACGGCGGTAAATATAGGGAAAGTGAAAGAAGGTGGAGAGTGTCGAGATTATACGGCGGTAAATATAGGGAAAGTGAAAGAAGGTGGAGAGTGCCGAGATTATACGGCGGTAAATATAGGGAAAGTGAAAGAAGGTGGAGAGTGCCGAGATTATACGGCGGTAAATATAGGGAAAGTGAAAGAAGGTGGAGAGTGCCGAGATTATACGGCGGTAAATATAGGGAAAGTGAAAGAAGGTGGAGAGTGCCGAGATTATACGGCGGTAAATATAGGGAAAGTGAAAGAAGGTGTAGAGTGCCGAGATTATACGGCGGTAAATATAGGGAAAGTGAAAGAAGGTAGGAGAGTGCCGAGATTATACGGAGGTAAATATAGGGAAAGTGAATGAAGGTAGGAGAGTGCCGAGATTATACGGAGGTAAATATAGGGAAAGTGAATGAAGGTAGGAGAGTGCCGAGATTATACGGAGGTAAATATAGGGAAAGTGAAAGAAGGTAGGAGAGTGCCGAGATTAAACGGTGGTAAATATAGGGAGAGTGAAAGAAGGTTGAGAGTGCCGAGGGTATACGGTGGTAAATATAGAGAGAGTGAAAGAAGGTAGGAGATTGCCGAGATTATACGGCGGTTAATATAGGGAAAGTGAAAGAAGGTGGAGAGTGCCGAGATTATACGGCGGTAAATATAGGGAAAGTGAAAGAAGGTGGAGAGTGCCGAGATTATACGGCGGTTAATATAGGGAAAGTGAAAGAAGGTGGAGAGTGCCGAGATTATACGGCGGTAAATATAGGGAAAGTGAAAGAAGGTAGGAGAGTGCCGAGATTATACGGAGGTAAATATAGGGAAAGTGAAAGAAGGTAGGAGAGTGCCGAGATTATACGGCGGTAAATATAGGGAAAGTGAAAGAAGGTAGGAGAGTGCCGAGATTATACGGAGGTAAATATAGGGAAAGTGAAAGAAGGTAGGAGAGTGCCGAGATTATACGGCGGTAAATATAGGGAAAGTGAAAGAAGGTAGGAGAGTGCCGAGATTATACGGAGGTAAATATAGGGAAAGTGAAAGAAAGTGGAGAGTGCCGAGATTATACGGCGGTAAATATAGGGAAAGTGAAAGAAGGTAGGAGAGTGCCGAGATTATACGGAGGTAAATATAGGGAAAGTGAATGAAGGTAGGAGAGTGCCGAGATTATACGGCGGTAAATATAGGGAAAGTGAAAGAAGGTAGGAGAGTGCCGAGATTATACGGAGGTAAATATAGGGAAAGTGAATGAAGGTAGGAGAGTGCCGAGATTATACGGCGGTAAATATAGGGAAAGTGAAAGAAGGTAGGAGAGTGCCGAGATTATACGGAGGTAAATATAGGGAAAGTGAATGAAGGTAGGAGAGTGCCGAGATTATACGGAGGTAAATATAGGGAAAGTGAAAGAAGGTAGGAGAGTGCCGAGATTATACGGCGTTAAATATAGGGAAAGTGAAAGAAAGTGGAGAGTGCCGAGATTATACGGCGGTAAATATAGGGAAAGTGAAAGAAGGTAGGAGAGTGCCGAGATTATACGGAGGTAAATATAGGGAAAGTGAAAGAAGGTAGGAGAGTGCCGAGATTAAACGGTGGTAAATATAGAGAGAGTGAAAGAAGGTAGGAGATTGCCGAGATTATACGGCGTTAAATATAGGGAAAGTGAAAGAAAGTATGAGAGTGCCGAGATTATACGGAGGTAAATATAGGGAAAGTGAAAGAAGGTAGGAAAGTGCCGAGATTATAAGACATTGAATATAGGGAAAGTGAATGAAGGTAGGAGAGTGCCGAGATTATACGGTGGTAAATATAGTGAGAGTGAAAAAAGGTAGGAAAGTGCCGAGATTATACGGTGATGAATATAGGGAGGGTGAGAGAAGGTAGGAGAGTGCCGAGATTATATGATGGTAAATATAGGGAGGGTGAGAGAAGGTAGGAGAGTGCCGAGATTATATGATGGTAAATATAAGGAGTGTGAGAGAAGGTAGGAGAGTGCCGAGATTATACGGTGGTAAATATAAGGAGTGTGAGAGAAGGTAGGAGAGTGCCGAGATTATACGGTGGTAAATATAGAGAGAGTGAGAGAAGGTGGAGAGTGCCGAGATTATACGGAGATAAATATAGGGAGAGTGAAAGAAGGTAGAAGAGTGCCGAGATTATACGGTGGTAAATATAGGGAGAGTGAGAGAAGGTGGAGAGTGCCGAGATTATACGGTGGTAAATATAGGGAGGGTGAGAGAAGGTAGGAGAGTGCCGAGATTATACGGTGATGAATATAGGGAGGGTGAGAGAAGGTAGGAGAGTGCCGAGATTATACGGTGATGAATATAGGGAGAGTGAGAGAAGGTGGAGAGTGCCGAGATTATACGGTGGTAAATATAGGAAGGGTGAGAGAAGGTAGGAGAGTGCCGAGATTATATGATGGTAAATATAGGGAGAGTGAGAGAAGGTAGGAGAGTGCCGAGATTATACGGTGATGAATATAGGGAGAGTGAGAGAAGGTGGAGAGTGCCGAGATTATACGGAGGTAAATATAGGGAGAATGAAAGAAGGTAGGAGAGTGCCGAGATTATACGGCGATGAATATAGGGAGAGTGAGAGAAGGTGGAAAGTGTCGAGATTATACGATGGTAAATATAGAGAGAGTGAATGAAGGTAGGAGATTGCCGAGATTATACGGTGGTAAATATAGACGGAGTGAAAGAAGGTAGAGATTAGCAAGAAAGCAAATTGTGACACGTGTTAACACACCTGTCAGTCTACTACCCTGGTAATGCACACACGTCAGTCTAGTGCCCTGGTTACAACTGACAACTCAAAACATGTTGGCACGCGAACGACTGACCAGCACACGCCACTCATACCTGACTTGCCAAAAAAGAGAAACTGTGAAAGCAACGAATCAGATGTGACGTTTTTATATTGTATGATAAAGGACACCATTACCTAAAACCATTACCTGTGATAAACTTTCAAGTCATACAACAGCTGATTGTTTGGTCGTGACAATGCACCGTTAGAACGGATAGGTTTTACAAAGTGTTTGTGACGTTGGGATTTCCAACGCCCGATAGGTGACTAGCTTTCGTCAATAGAGCAAGCTTTCGGGTATAACATCTGCTTCATTAAGTTGATATAGCTCACCAAAGACGTGGTATGTACGTCTGTAAAGGTCCACTGTCTCACACAGTACCACAGTCCTCTTCTGTGAAAATATGTCAATTGTTTTAAATCTATTTCAACAGATTTTTCTACTCTGAAATATTAGGGCACAGATTCACAAATTTAAATGAGCGGTGCGGTCACGGTTACTGGTGACATGGTTCGCAAGCAATAGAATATGTGTCTTGATTTTCCTACACGGACATATATGAAATTCTCTTTATCAAAACACGGATCACATTTTCTTCATCCGGGGGGATAAACAAAACAGTGTTCGCTCATAATTTAATTTATCAAGGTTGACTGACTTCCATTTTTATGCTATTATTCCCCATATATTTTCATATCGTGTTCCGATTAAACGAAAGGTATGGACAAGTATGAAATTCTTGAATCAGAAATCTGTAATGTATTCGATGCACAATTTAATCTACAAGGATAATATGGGATTTTTTTCAGGGTACTGAAAATATTCTTAAACACCAAGTCCGGAATTCATTTGTAACGATATTTTCCTTCTGACGACAAAACATACAAGTAAGTACATATATGCGTCAAATAGATTTAATATGGTCCGTGATTTGGTGATTGTCAAATGTCAATATGAAAACCAACACCACTATGTCTATCCGTTAAAACAATGCTTCTATCTCAGATGTCCTGGGAATGTCACCATTGAGCTCATTTCCAATACAGAGATCAAACATGCACACGTGAGCATATATAAATATCGCACGCGCACGTTAAGTGAATTATGCGCTTGAAGTAGGTTTCGCCTACAGTCGACATAATACCGGCCACATGACACCTGTGTAATCCAACCAAAGGTATCCGGCGCCGACACTTGAGTCACGCTGGGAACAGCCCCGGCTCCCGGGCGGTTACCTGGAGGATAAAGAATTTATGATATAGGAGAATATCGGCATACATAAGAATTATATAACATACAAAAATCGATCTTTAAGTACAGCTATATATCAAATTTTGTATCGTTTCATGTGCAGGGTTAACAAGGTGTATGGTTTTATTATTGCGATAGTAAAATGTGTCTCGGGGTGTGTGTGTATTGGGCTGACGAACTGTACTGTTGGTGGGTCTTGAGGTTTGTGTGTTTTGGGTTGACGTTTGTAAGGATATTACAAGGCTAGGGTTGTTGAGTTTGTCACGGTATTACAAGGCTAGGGTTGGTGAGTTTGATAATGCCATCAGATATCACAGTACGTATGATGGAACTGTTGTGTTTGAAAATAACAAAAAAAAAAAAAAAAACCACCAATATCATCCCTTTGTTTAACAATCTATTGATATAATTTACGGTCGAGTGACATATTCTGTTTCTCTCTATATCAGGTGTTTATAGTTATTCCATTATGTGGAGACCAGACTTCTATTAATCAAAGATACCCTACCGTACAATACTAACAGACGATCTTGCGATTTCTAAACAATGACATGTATATATGTTAGCAGCTTTAAATTAATTTATAATACAAAATGACACTTTAAAATTATGTTTTGAATGGAAAGAAGATCTTGTGATAATTCAGCGGGAAAATAGACTGCCTTTCCTTAAAATTAAAGTTACGTCATCGGGCTAAAATAAGCTGGCGAATACATGGTGGCAGAGAAATGAGCAAGCTAAGTTTGGAGCGAACCATGGCATTAACGACAACCTTGGTACATCACTGTCACTTCAGGAATAAAAAACAAAGATGTACGGATTCGGCCTTGGCCCAACACAGGCAGTTCAACGTCTTCTTATTTCAAAATTTAATTTCGTGTTCCAGGCAAAAATCATATATGCATCGCCTGCTTGGTTTTATTTTCTAAATAGCAACACAGAGAAGGGCATAGCTGCAGCACCAACAGTGATTTCGTTAATAAATTAAAAGTTAAGGCAGCAATAGATTTGTGAGAGAAGTCCATCGCCGACAAGGCTAGAGCGAGCTCCGCTAAGTATTATTTAATCATTGTTTCTTTCCAGCAGAGAAAGGAGAAAATTAGATCTGTTGTGAAGGAATAGCCCCTGTTTATATGAGGATGTTCGACCACCCCCTAGCAGGGTTTCAGAGGGAGACACGGTAATATCAGAAAATTGCTTAATAAACACCGGATATTAAACATACATACAGGTGAGAGAGAGGGTTAATATAAAACCCGCTGTGCACGTAATGGACCAGATGAATGATTCAAGGGGCATTCATTACTACTGTT